ATTATTTTGGAAATATATGCGAAATTAAACGGCTTTATTCTCGATCAGATGTAAATAGCTGGGCAGTATTTTACATTTCCTTATAATCATTTATTGAAATTGTGGGTAATTATCGTCCTAAAAAAATCATGAAATTACCAAGAAATGTTCAAACGAAAAATGCTTGATTTTCTAAACTTTTACGAATTAGCTCGGTATTTAATTCAAATAAATCTAGGTTTTCTTGGCAAGTTTATAAGCCTTTGATTTTGTATTTAGTTTCTACTGGCGCGTTTTATTATTCTGAAAATCTCAGCTTTAGTAAATAATATACGGAAAACATGTTTAACATTGACATAATCCTTAGATTGCTTAGTGGGAGAAAAACTGAAAAAACAATGATTCGTCTGGTTTTATTGCGGGCAATAAAATAATTACAATTACTCAACAAACTGTCTTGAAGAGATTACAGTGGTTATTAATTATTTTCCTTCATTTAAACTCCCGGTAGCTTAGACACAATCAATACAAATTAAAATTTTCCTTTGCATTCTTATGCAACTGCGGAAAACTAAAGTGAACTATTTTTTTTTGTTTTTATTATACAGAGTGTCTTTGAAAGGTTTCTGAACCCAAAATATGATGATCAAACCCAACAGCAGTACTTTGGACATATTTAAAACGAAATAATTTTCTTAATCCTCACTGCATTTCAGTTGGGACCAAATTTTCTTAATTTTCAGTGTCTTCTACTTAAAAAACTTTTTTTGATGGAGAACTTCGAAAACTCCTGCAAATTCTATGCGAGATTATTTAAGGTGACACATTTAAACTTGTACTGACCGTTTGGGAAACGGAATGTTGCAGAGTTCAATTTCATGTTTGCGTATCCGAAAAAAGATTTCAATTTGAATCTGAAAGTAATATTTTACATCCAAATATCTCAAAAACGGATGCTCCAATTAACTCTTAACAGGTACACCTTTTTGTAGTGAAAGGCGTTGGAAAATGCGAAATTTGATGCAAAAGTAAAATACATTGTGGCGTAAAAAAGTTATTTTGTTCCTACAACTACATACACCAGTTCTTAAAATATATATTTGGACAAAACTGAAAACTTTTGATACTTTGTATCTTCGAAACCATCCACTTTTTGATTAATAGAATTTGAGTTAGATCGTCATATTTTAGCCTTAAAAATGTGTTGTAGCATTTTTCTGATTACCCTACAGATTATTTAACAAATTATGTTAAAAAACTCTTTCTTGCCCAAAGTAGGAGCTGAACTGATTTGAAACAAGGTGAATTTTTTCATTAGGGGTCAATCTCATTCTGAAAAAAATACTTCGGCACTTTTCATGATTCGAGTGGCTGACACAAATACTTAAGAAAAACATGCACAAAAAAATTGTTAAGCTACTAATTTCTACATAATACTACGAAAAACATTCACTTTTCACTAAATTGAGTGGCAATTTAAATAATCCTTTATAGTTAAGTTGTTTGGAAACAGACAAGCGTTCGTTTAGCCGAAAGTAGCGTATCTTGTAGTCGTAAGTGTTAAAGTAAACCATTTCAAAGTCGTAAATTTAGAAAAATCTCTGTTTTATTGCAGCGAATGGAAACTACTCGAAACCCGTGGTTAATAATCGCGTTTATTGTTACATGAATGTACTACTTTGCAGAGTATTAAGTGTATTTACCTGGGAGATTATTTAAAATTCCCGGAATCTGGAAGTAGCATGAATTTTAAGATAATGGGGCTTATTTTGTTCCTGAGCTTATCATAATTGTTTAGTAAGCCAGAGACAAGGCAATCTTGTCTCTGAGTCAGCTAGACTTTGCGTTAATTTTTGCGTAATTGAACAAAACATCATTGTATACACCATGAAATTTAACATTCTGACTCCAGTAAACTACTTTCATTTAGTGAAATTTTATGCATATATTAAATCGCAATTTGGAAGCAACTAAAGCAAAAGTCAAAGAAATTAATTGAAGCAAATGTGAACTGAGAAAATGTTTATAATATGGTGCTCTCACTTAGAAAAAAGGTTATTAAAATAATAAAAAAACCCAAACGTAACGCTTAGAAACGCACAGACAGGAAAGGTAATTTGGGTTTTCCATTGAATCATGTTGTTCGTTCAAAATGTTCACATTACTTCATATTTTTTCGGGAAATAGTAAAGAACTAGACAAATTTTGTTGGCATGAGTTAAATTGTGATTTTTTTAAATTATTTTATAATTTAAATCAAATTCCTATACACATTGTTTTAATAATATGAATAACAATAATTTTGCAAATTCTCTGATCGAAGCAACTAACACTGATCAAATCAACAATATCAGCACTATCCAGGTTAATTTTAG